GTCCAACTATGAATATGAGAGTACAACTGAACAACTAGGTACAACTACGTTTATAAAAAACAATTTTTTATGAATATCCTGCTGTCTTTGGCCCACTTTACAGCACGTGTGATGACTTTAAATTAATAACCCGCCGCCAAAGGTCCAATTTTTTTTATTATTTTTCACGTCAGTCATATTTAAATTCATTTTAATATCAATTTTAATTAATTTGTTATTTTTAAAAAAACTCGAAAGGACCTTGTAGTTGTACTTAAATATACCAATTGTACCTATACGTAGTTGTACCTAAATATACCAGTTGTACCTATACGTAGTTGTACCTAAATATACCAAAATACCACCATAGTAAATAAAAAAAAATCCACTTTACCATACCTAAAAAAGATGGCTTTAAATAGCCTTACAAGGACTCAAAAGAAACAACAGACAGAAGCTTAAAAATAGGAACAGACTCCACTACAATAACTGACTCAATTCCACAACTCCACTATCTAGACTCCATAAGACTCGGACATGATTGACTCCAAAAGCAAACCAACGACTAACATAAACAAAAGATCCACTTTACCATACACAAACAAAAGGTCAATTGCACCAAAAACAAAAAAAACTATCTGAACAATCAAATAGTGCAGTTGCACCAAATAGTTCAAGTTATACCAAAATTGTCCCAGTTGTACCTAAGTGATCTAGTTGTACATAAAACTTCACTTTCACCATATGATTCTATTGTTTACAATCAAACAAATCCGCAATCTTTCAGTCTCTGCTGCAACTATTTAATCTTCTGCTCATTATAGCTCCAAAGTAGATAAATTTCCATGCTTTCTCAAAGTTGTTGCTTCAAAGTAAGCTCTTTCTTTCGTTATTGGCTAAGATTCCCCAATACAATGAATATATGGAAGTGCCTATACAAATAAACAAGGACAAAATACACAAATAATCACCAATCTGGTTTCTTGAAAACTCAAAACTTGTTCATTTTACTTTGGAAGTCAAGAAATCAAAACTTGTTCATTTTATCCTATAGATCAAAGCAATTTCAGAGTAAAGCACAAAGGCTTATCTGGTGCTCCAGCAGTGGCAATTGTGATCTCATCCTTCAAATAAAGCACAAAGGTAATGCTTGATGAAGCAGCTTGGAAACACGAACCATTAGCAGATAAGATAGGATATAATACTAGAATTGAAGAGTTAGGACTAAGAAGGAGGTAAAACCTTGCGACGTCTGATTCGTTTTGAAAGAGGAGATTGATGAGATCCTTTAACCATCCCAGTAGAGCTGAGTGAAGACCAGAACAACTATCAAGATGGTTATAAAGAAGAGAAAAGACAAAAAAAAAAAGATCATCACAATCAAGTTTAAAGACTTACTTGATACAAAATTCCTCTTTGTGAGAGCTACTTTTACATATTAAATCCAACAACGCAAAACATCCATCTTGAACCAGATACAAGAAGATTTGTAAGCAACAAAAGTTAGAGCCCTCTTGACCAAAAACATAAATAAGTTAAAAAGGAACATATGTATGCTCGACATGAACCAGAATCCATTGAATGTGAACACATTGATTTTACAATTCTTGCATGTCCTATAAGAACTCTAGTACACTTATTCTCATCTACATCTCACACTTTAATTTGTATTCCAGCGTATAAGAATGTCAGTGTCACCATTCTGTCCTCACAAACAAGTAAATCAAAAATCTTTGAGTCACAACTTACAGTTTGATCACTAGAAGCAGTTATAAGACAACTATCTCCCTGCAACAAATATGCAATGAGTGAACATCGAACGAGCTTCACTTAGTTCCATAAATGGTTCAGAAATTAAATGCGTATAACGCACCTTGATCCATATGTCAAAGACCACATTGTGCACTACAAAGGACGACGGAGACTTTATCCGAAGACGAATTCATCGGAATTCGCGCAGTCCTCTGATGTCGCGGCGGTGGAAACTGAGGAGGAGGCGGCGAGATCGGAGAATAAAGAGGCAAAAAATGCGTGAACTTGTTACCATCGTACGATCGTTGACTTGGGATTCTCGATTTTGAACGGAGATTTCTCAGGAGAAACGTAATGGCTCTCCGGTAAATCTCTAGCATCTGATAACGGAGAAGAAATCGAAGAGGAGAGTGTGTTGATTCGTTGTAACTCTGTGCTTCTGAGTTCGATGAAACTGTCTGCTTCATCTTCATCATCACCGATTCGATTTCGATTTCTACAGCGTAAGCTACCAAAACATCAGTTTCGGTGGATCTGTATTTTTCAATTTTCTTCAACTTAAAGGTCTACGTATATTCTTTGATCTTTCTTACAAGTCGTGGGTTATTGGATTTGGGTCGGATTGTCTTGGTTGGATCTGTAATTTCTAATTCTCTTAAAGGTTTTTTGGACATTTCCATCACTTTTGATTTATAAAAAATGGTAAAAGAAATTACAAACAAGAAAGTGGCATTCTAGCTTTTTTATTCGGGGAAAGTGGCTTTCTAGCCATTGTTTCAAGATTTAGTGTGTTGTGGGTGGAAAATAAATCACATGGCCATCTCACCTGTTGTGTTTGTTTCCACTTTGGAGTTGTTGTTGTATTGATTCCAATTTCTTTGTTTATTTATGTGATGTTTACGGGACGCGACATATTTTATTTGCTAAGATTTTATTTGATGTGATGAGTCAACGAATGTTACACAACCAAAACAAATTTCATTTTAAACAAAAAATATGTTATATTATTATCTCTTGGCTTCCTAAATTTCAAAATGATATTTTGTTGTCAATGCGAAAAACTAATCCTAACATTCGACAAACTAATGGGTATTAGGTACTATGATACATTGTGTGTGAATAAACCTAAATTCTTTTATAGTCTAATAAGAAGTGGTTTCTCGTGAGCTCTGAACTTCATAATCGGTTTGGTTTTAGTAGCACCTCACTTATCAGTACATGTGGAATCTCATCGAGAGTTATCACAACTCTTAACCGAAGCCTTTTAAAGTTTCTAACTGCATCCACATATACTTTTCCAGTTTTGAACATAAATCCAATTGGTATATTTCCATTTTAAGTCGCCTTCAGGAGAAATTAATGCGAAGAACTTTGGTAATGTAATATGCTTTTTAGGGGCTGCGACGTTGCTATTATGTTGGGGTGAGCTTGGAAATTTTGGTCATAGTCTTCTCTCTTTGTTATCAGTGAGCGGACCAACTTTTCATAAGGAAATATTCCACATCTAGAAGGAAGGTTTTACTCATATAGTCATATAGTAAATGGGCGACTGCTTACTTTTGCTTCTCGAACTAACACCTAAATCACAACATGGGGTGAATCTACCAAATATATTAGCATTTACCTCGTCTGCCTAAGGTTTGGCCAGCAAAGATTTGTTATCCAAATACGTTTTTAGTTTTATTAGAGCATTTTTGCGCTAGTTAGTCCATTTATAAATATGTGTACTGTGTAATTATTTGAAAAAATCATGATCTTTTTAGGCGAGTATACAATCAACTCGCTCAACATCACTATTCTTTCTTGGATGTGTCTAGAATTCTTTTATATTTTAGTGTTTTACGGTAAAAATATATTTTATATAGCTTTGATCTTGTCAGAATTTACCTCTATGTTTTATTGGTCACAACATACCAAAAAAATCTCCTATAAGATATCTTAGACAAGTATTTGGTAGAATTGAATTTCATCTTAAGCTTTCGAGTGTCTGATTTGACGAGCATGTTGTCTAGTTTATGTTATCGTTTTTAACATTAGTCATGTTGTATAAATAAATTTTAATTGAAAACTATTTTGTTATTTACAAAATAACTTTTTTTGTTAAACAAAAACAAAATTTGGAACAAATGTAATTTTCGCATTAGCCGCATAAATATGATATTCACTATGCTATTATTTTTCGGTAAACAAAAAATACCTAGTAAAGAGTAGTATGTGTGGTGATAAGTCATATATATGGATAACTAATGTACTGTATGTTGGAAATATTTACCCAATAATTTCATAGGTCAACTAAAGAAAAACGTGGCGTTAATGGTATTCATGTTTTTTTTTTCGTCATTAATGGTATTCATGTTAATATCTTCTATATATGACTGAAAATATATTTCAGGAATAAAACTGCTATTCTTTAGAGTCCATGCACCATTTATTCCCTAATGAGTATATGAAAAAACAAGAAACAAAAGATAGCATGCTGAAGAAAGAAAAAAACCAAACAAACCAAAGATAACATAGAAAGTAAGAAACTGAAAACAACATAATTAAGGAAAATACACAATTTCTAATTATCAATATTAAGTCAGAATAAAAAAGCAGAATCAAATGGATAGCTGGAGTGGTACAAAGTTTATGAAACACTTAAAAATTAATTTTCTATATACATGCGTTTTCGTTTTTTTTGTAGGATAAGAGAGACAAATGTCTCCCACAATTTATTATATAATAAAATAAAGAGAAAATTACACTTGAATAGTTCTTCGGCGTGCAAAACCCATTAACAGCATCCAATCTAGAATTAAACATATGAAAACCTAAAAATAAAGAAAACACATAGTTCGCTAATCTATCCACAAAACGGTTAGCCTCTCTATACACGTGAGAAATACGGACTATTCAGTCAATCGATATAAATTCATGACACAGACATAAACCAATTGAAAGACAGAGATGAGAGTCACTTATCCTTTTCTGTTTCGTTGTATTTGCAATTATTCAATTACAATTGAAAATATAGCATCATTCCATAAAATTGAAAATATAGTATTGTGAATATGTGATTACTTGGTTTATTAATGCGCTATTTATTTTAATATATCAGTTAATACTTTTTGTCATTTGAATACAAGAAAAAATGACATTCGATTTATAGAAGAGTTAGTAGTGCAACGGTCGATTTAACAAATCAAAGCGCGCCATTTTTTTAAAATATGATAAGAGATAGTTTATAAATTATTATTTTGTACTCTTACACATAATCACGTGTAATGTAACATTTATAGATTATATTTGAAATGAATAAATAAATTTCATGTTATACAAAGCCAGTTGGTACATGAATCAGACAAAAATATTATCATGGGCAGGAGTTGCCTCATTGGGCAGGAGTTGCCTCATGGGCAGGGGTTGCCTCATCGGCAGGAGTTGCCTCTGAGGTATCATCGGCAGGAGCTGCCTCATCGGCAGGAGCTGCCGCATCGGCAGGAGTTGCCTCTGAGGTATTTGTAGTCGAATCATCCATTGATAGCATGTTGAAGAGATCAGTAGCAAAATCCACCTTTGGAGGATCTGATGCTGGTGCAACATTTACTGCTTGTTTCTCCGTCTCCACTGGAGCGGCTGCAGACTCCATTTTCTGCTGTGGCTTTATAAGCTGTTATTTTTTAGCATCATTTATCAAAAAAGCTAGGCTTTGGATACTATTAGAAAGAGGCGTTGAATGATTTTAAGGCCCTAAAAACAAAGTGAGTTAAGTAATGATCTGACAGCTACAGCATATGCATCGAAAAAGATTATGATTTCTTAGCTGATATCCCAAGATAATTAAATAAGAGCAAGTAATACGGATTCTTAATTAATGTTGAGTAACTAAAGGTAAGGCTGTTTAGTTATACAGATCTTCTGCGAAGTATGTTTGGTACCTGACCGGGTCCTTGTGGAGGCACGGGAAGACTTATCCTTGTTGCAGCAACATTATTTCCTGTTCTAGATGCTGGAATAGTTTTCCTCTCCTCAACCATATTTACAGGACTACTACTGTGCCCATGCTCATATCCAGGCCTGCTTCTCTCCACAGATTTCCGCCGTTCCTGCTCGATTCTAGGGGGTGATCTAGCCTTTTCCCCTCTAGAAACCCATCTCTTCTCTTCATACCTAGAAAAGTCATATGTCACAGTCATAAGAATGATTTCGGCGTCTATATGAATAGCAAGATAGATAATTCAATGAGGTGGAACTAACTGAAAAGTTTGTACAATGAAAAAGAGAGATACATACTTGGCACATATGAAATTCTCAATTTCAACTCTATCATAGTTTGGGGGTAGCTCTGCTTCCCAGTAACTATTTGCTTTCTCATTTCCCATCGCTGCATGCAGATAAAAGATTCTATACCTTACATGGTGTAACCAACCCATGAAGCAGTCATTGAGCATTAAGTTTGAAAGACACTTACACTGTATAAATGCAACCTGCTCGGGGAGACATGTATCCAGAGTGGTAGATCGCACCTGCACTCATCAGCCCACACAGATGTTTCGGTAGAAATAGTAAGTAGCTTATGCTTCTAAGGTTAAATAGTAAGTAGCTTATGCTTGAAGTTCGTGTGTAAACTGGAATTTTTTCTAGTTAAGGAAATGGGGAGATTTAATGCATTCATGTCAGACTTTTCAGCTCTTGTGATAGAAAATACAAAATGAAATTGCAAATATAAAAACCGAGTAGAAAAAGAGAATTTGAGCCAAATGGAATGAGTTATTCATGGAATTAATATCTGAGCATTATTATACAAACGCAGCATCAAGAAAACAAATGTAGAAAGGAAACTGAGAGACTACCTTTGATATGTGTACCCCGAGACTCCTGTGAATCTCAGAACATTGCATGCAGATAAAGATACCTAAATTAACACTAGCCCATCTTGGGCCTCTGCAAAGCAAATGGAATAGTATTTAGCAAAGATATAAATGAACCAGCATAATAATGCTGATAATTCACATCAGGTACAAAACCATACTTTGTTTTGCAGTCGGCACATTCTCTGTTCTCTGGATGTTTGAGAAGCTCTTCAAGAATCTGCAAATAAGTAGCACCAAAATCAAGTGAATATTCAAGCAATAGATTATTCATAAGTTGCAAAACATAAAAGAAGAATTTACATATAGATATATCAAGAAAAATCCAAAATTATCAGTATTGACATGTTTAATAAACCAATATGAATCAAAAAGTTCTCATTGCAGTAGAATTCAAGCTCCATGAAACTGTAACATTCAATAAGCCGTCGTTGATTATAGAACAATCGATCGAAAAGCTAAGGATCGACGGTACAAATCCTCTCCTAACTAGAGGAAGTCGATGAAAATGAAGAACGATAGCTGCTAATTCGAATCGAATTAGGATCGATCATAGATTGTTGGCAGCCAAATTCGCATTTACGATCACAAATCCACAAAGCTCGGAAAGCAAAAAAAAAAAAAAAAAAAATGAGATTGGAGACCTTTCTATGGCGGGCATTAAGCTCCTTATAGACTTTGGCTTTCTCGTTCATGGCGGATAGATAAATCGAAGAATCGGCAAAAGAAGAGGAAGAGGAAGAAGAAGAAGAGCAGAAGAAAAATGATCTACGGAGACGACAAGGTCAAAGCAGTCTTTTCCGCCTTCAGCGCTCTCAGATTATGTCCTTTGAGAACGAGCGACCGTTCAGATTATGGTACTGGTTTACTAATGTACCGTTGACCGTTCAGATGTGATGCGTCAACGAATGTTACAACCAAAACAAATTTCATTTTAAACAATCGTGCAAATATAAGATATTGAAATTTGAATTGAACTATAACTTAAATTGGTGTATTTTGACACGTACGTGAAATAGCACTTTAAAGAACAGAAAGACTAAACTCCAGATAGTTAGAGACACACCAATATCTTTTAAACAAAACTATTGATTTCAAAGTAATTTTATGGTTTCAATTAATATTTTTTGCTCTTGGAGATTTTATACCTTAAAATAGAGAAACATAATTAATAATCCACTCAATAAATAGCGTCTCCCTTTCCCTAACTAAATCACACAAAAGAGATAAGACATAACTTTATAACTCTCATCAAATTACAATTTACAAACAAATTGTAATGGAGAACCAATCTATGTCTTCTTCAAGCTCCTCCACACACAAACATGATCAAAAACTCAAAAGTTCCGTTGTGGCTGTGGAGGTCCTGGAGGAGAAGGAGACAGTGAACAATCCGGACATGTATTATAATAAGATTTACATCTGTTACTTGTGCAAGGGAGTGTTTCAGACCCCTCATGCCCTTGGCGGTCACGGAAACACCGAGAAGGAGGACCAAGAACTGGATATGCAGCAGAAGATCCAGATCGAGTCAAGGCTTTCTAACAAAGAAAAGTCTAACTTGCTCTTTGGTGGGTCTTCACAAGATGTTTTATCAAATGATAATCATCTTGGACTCTCTCTTGGTCAGTCCATAGGAGGTAGCAGCAGCAGCAACGCTTACCCGTTGGTTAATGTTGGAGTCACAGATATGAACATGAACAACTATAGCTTACATGATTTACCAAATGATATTAATCTTGACCTTACTCTCGGTCCATCTAACTCCATAGGAGGTAGCAACGATAATAACAAAATTAACTCATATGTCAATGAGGAAGTCACTAGAGAAACCACGAATATGATCATTCCCGTGCGTCCTCGTGTGTCTAGATACCATTTTGTTGCTGGAAACCCTCTTGATTCAATCACTAGAAATATTCCTGATCTTTCTATTGCTCCTCCTCATCGAAACACCTATCTTTTTCATGATTCGTTTTCTTTACAAGAGAATGGCTCGGGCTCTAGTCACTCATAAAGTCTCCTCTCAAAGGGAAAGAACAAAGTCATGGTGCCTGAAGATGATGATAAGCATCAGTAGAAGAAGATTGGGCGTTATTATTATTTATTAAGTTTTCTATGCATTATTTAGTATTTCGCTTTCAGTTTAGAGTTATCTTATAACTATTGAGGTATTTGATCTCATTTTTTTCATTCAATTGTTTTTTTCTCTTTTTGTTTCCTTCTTGTCTTATATATAAATGTTCTCTTTTGCGATTTGTTAAGCTTTGATTATTTCATGAATCCTTTTATTTTCAATGCCTATATAGCTCATGATTGTTCTGAAGATTTCTGCAATTTTCAAAAGTCATGGTCTAATTATTTGTAAGCGAATTTTATCTTTCAAAAGCCACAGAGATTCTGATTATAATATATTAATCTTTCCGATCTTATTATTAGTGTTGTATACTTGTAACCTCCCAAATTTGTAATACACATGTCATCATCTTTCAGGATATTTTTTAACAAAAAAAAAGATAATTATCCTTTTTATATACTAATTTTAATGTATATAGTCTAGTTATTGAACCTATACATACAAAATATTGACTTTAAGAAACCATATGAAGAAAATTGGAATCTAGAATCTGGTATAATAAAATGTTATCCTAGTCACAATTTACGGTTTACAATTTGTGATATGAGAAGGTTAAGATACTTAAAAAAATTTGGTAACAAAAGTTTGCAAAACTGGAATTTTGGAAAGTAACTCGAGTGATATAGAATTGAAATTTTCAAGTTCTCTATCCTTGCAACGACTATCGTCTATTTCTAGAAATGAATGGATTTCACTTCGTGGCCTAGGGTTACGTTTCCCAACCGAACTTGTTTTGATTTGATTTGTAAGATGTCTCACATAAAGTATGATGGAACATTAGTGATAGAAAATAAGTCTTATCTAGGGTAAAGGAAGGATCTCAGACCTCTAAAATATTTTTTTAGCTAGGAGTTGAAGTTGCAAGAAATTCATCTACCTTAAGTATGCGCTTGATATTATATCGGGAACTAGATTGATGGGAACAATCCTTTATGTTTGACGGTGAAGTATATTTTATATGACTTTAATTTTGTCATAATTTACTTCTCTATTTTGTTGGGACAAGAGACGATACCCGAAGAATTTCCTATAAGATGTCTCTCACACAAACATTTGGTAGGATTTAGTTTTATCTTAAACATCAAACATATTGTTCACAGATCTCTTATAAGTGGCTCCCACATTATTTTACCCAATGACATACATTAACAACTGATTACAATGGATGTGACTAAAACGGTTTTTCTTGGTTTTAGATTTCAGTTGGATCTGTTTGTATGTGAGAATATGAGTAGTTCGTTTTTCCAATGTTGAGCGATAGAGTTTGATAATTTGTACATGTTTGATTTAGATATGTGGTATCGATGCACACTATCTATTATTCATTTTCCTTTGCACCACTAGCTACCACATTTGCCTCATTTTCTTTTACACCACTACAACATTTGACACACTAGCTGGATAGAGAACCTCCACATTTCAATTCTATATTACAATCTTTTAATGAAAAACTGGCAGCATTTTAATAATTCAACTTTATATTAGTTAATTTTTCAATTAAATATTTTTTGTTTTCAGTTGTATTTACGCAAAGAATTTGTTTTATAATTAACTTTTCCGTACAACGCAAATTAAGTATCTCGTACAGACAAGTTTTTGTTTGGATCATTTACGTCGAATAGGTTTATTATCTATATTTGGATCAAAGTTTTTGGTTAAAGAAAAATAAAATTTGGAAAAACTGTAATCTTGGCATATAATGATTTCCCCAATTTTATTATATTTCTGTAAAAATTGAATATCTAGTAAAAATTATGTGTGGTGATAAGTCCTTATTACTTATGGATAACTAATGTATGTTGGAAAAATTTGTCCAATAGTTTCATAGGGCCACTAATTATAGAAAAACGTGGCGTTAATGGTAGTCAACTATTCACATATTATATCTTCTAAATATACATGACTGAAAATGCATTTTAGGAATATTAAAACTGGCAGTCTTTAAAGTTCATGCACCATCATTATTTCTTTTATTTTTTGAACAAAACACCATCATTATTTAAAATTGCCTTCATTGTGGGTAATTTTTTCCTAGTAAGTATGCCAAAAGTAAATAAAAAGCAAAGAAACAAAAGAAAACATAGAAAGTAAGAAACTGTAAACAACATAAATAAGGAAAATACACCATTTCTATTTATCATTAAGTCAGGATAAGAAAAAATAAGCAAATGTAGCAAAGCTGACTAAGACATAGCTGGCGTTTGTAAGTAAAATGACTTCAAATTTAATTTTCTATATACTGTGTTTCCGTTTCTTTGTATCTGATATATATATTTATAATAAAGAAAATAGGTGAAAAATAGAAAATATAATCTTGTATTACTTAGCTTATTAATAGTTTTTTTTGTTACATATCAGATTATCAGTTAATATAAATAAATAGCTATATGAAAACATAACATTCTCTTTATGGAAGAGTTAGCCTTTTGCAACGGTCGATTTAACGAACTAAAGCCCGCCATTTTTAAAAATATGAAAAGAGATAGTTTTTAAATTATTATTTTTTTACTCTTACACATAATCATGTATATAATGTAACAATTATATATAGTTATATTTGAACTGAGAAAATAAATTTTAGATCATACAAAGCCAGTTGGTACATAATGAACACAAAACTATTATTTTGGAAGACAAAATGTATAAAACCAACATGGTTAGAAAAACAACCATATTTTTCATGGTAGTTATATATAAGACATCATGTATATAAAATCTATTCAAATTTGAATTATATTGATTAAATTGGTGTATTTTTAACATATGAAGTATCATTTTAGAAAAATAAGAATAAAGTCAAGATAGTTAGAGACACAACTATTTCTTTTAAACAAAACAATGAATTCAAAGTAGATTTACTATTACAATTAATGGTTGTTACCCTTGGAGATTTTATACCTTAACGAGAGTTCAACACATTAATTAATCCCTCAATAAATAGCATACGTCTCCGGAGATGAGACATCATCATCACTCACTTCTACCTCTCAGCAAAGTTTTACAAAACAATGGAGAACCAATCTATGTCTTCTTCAAACTCCTCCTCCTCCCCACAAAAACCTGATCAAAAACTCAAAAGTCCCGTTGTGACCGTGGAGGAGAAGGAGACAAGGAACAATCCGGAACAAAGGTCTCCTCATGAGGTTGTGGCTGAAAACACGATCCTTGAGTTGCCTACTTTCAGACAATTTTTCCGAACGAAAAAAAATACCGTGCTATATCGTCCCATGAATAACAAGATCCACATCTGTGATTTTTGCCACAAGGTGTTCCAAAATGGTTATGCCCTAGGCGGTCACGTGAAGTGCCACAAAAAGGAGCGAGAATTGGAGAAGCAGGGGAAGCTTTCTGGTGGTACTTCTCTTGCTCCTTTCCCAAGCTTTCCATTGCTCTCTTCCGGCCCGTTTATGTATGTCCAAGGCGGTAGCAGCTACAAGCGGAAGATGACCGATTCGATGCCTTCTGGTGGTACTTCTCTTGCTCCTTTCCAAAGCTTTCCTTTCCTCTCTTCCGGTCCGTTTATGTATGGCCAAGGCGGTAGCAGCTCCACTGATGATATCAATCTTGATCTCACTCTTGGTCCATCGTCTAAGTCCACAGGAGGCAGCAACAATAACACTAACCCATCGTTCCATGGGAATCTGTTCACTCCCATGCGTCCTTGTGTGTCTGGATACAATTTTGGTGCTGGAAACCCGGTTAATCCAAACACTAGGTATCTTCCTCCGTATGGAAACAACAATCTTTGTCCTGATTTGTTTTCTTTACAGGGGAATGGTTCGGGCTTTAGCCCCTCAAAAAGTCTCTTCTTAATGGCACAGAACAAATCCATGGTGCCTCCTTTTGCTTCACCTTATCCAACCACCAATCTTTGTTATGATTTGTTTAATGGTTGGGTTTCTAGCCACTCAAGTCTCATCTCAAAGGGGGAAAACAGATTCATGGTGCATCCTTTTGCTCCTCCTTATGGAAACAACAATGTTTGTCCTGATTTGTTTTCTTTACAAGAGAATGGAATGGGCTCTAGTCACTCAAAAAGTCTCATCTCAATGGAAAAGAACATAGCCATGGTGCCTCCTTATGTTCCTTCTACTGGAACCACCACCGATCTTTTGCTTTCTTCACAAGTGAATGGTTCGGGCTCTAGTAACTCAAAAAGTCTCATCTCAAAGGGGGAAAAGGAAGTCGTGGTGATTGAAGATGATGATGATGATGAGGAGGAGGAGGATATCGTGACGATGAGGTGGTTGGCCAAGAAAAAAAGATCAAGACGCGAGTAGTAATTTATCTATGTCCCTTTGAGTTTTCAGTTTTCTATTGAGGCTTATGTTCACCTCTCTTCTTCTTTTTTCATGCAATTGTTTTTCTCTTTTTGTTTCTTTGTTGTCTCTCAAATGTTCTCTTTCCCTTTAGTTTAATGTTTCGATTATTTCATCAGTCTCTTTTCCTCAATTCCTTTATCTCATGATTGCTCTAAATTTTCTGCAATTTTCCAAATTCATGGTCCAGTTATTCGTAAGCGAATTTTATTTTTCAAAGGTTAAAGAGATTCTGCATTTTGCTCATAATTATTTGTTAAAGAGACATTAATTATCTCTTCATTGGTTGTGAACTTGTAAGAGACAGAAATACAATCAAGGGACACTTTCCGATCTTATATTTGTTGTAACCTCCCAAAATATAAGAGGCAGAGGTTCTTTTGCCGATTAGGGCTTCGCTGGTTCCGGTTTATTATCTATTGATTCCATTCGGTTTTAGAGTAGCTAATCGGGCCCATCCAAGTTTGTGGATTGGTTATTATACGGTTACTTTGTATTAAGCCCAAAAAAAAAACCCCAAATTCTTTTACAAAGAGAGAATGAAAAGTTAATCTGTAGTGCTTTTTAGTGTCTAATTTGCCTTTCGGACCGAGTGTCTACATCAGTTTTCCGTATTGTATATACACTAAACCACATGAAAAGTTTATCTCAATTTATATTTTCTCATTTAGCGGAAATGAATAATATCATCATCCGATTTAAACAAGTTGTTTAAAAAGAATCATATTATTAAAATTTAAAATAGAATATTTTTTAATTCATATATTTGTTTTGCTATTGGACATATAATAATTTTATTATTTTAGATAGTACTATACACAAATTCTGATCTAATTGAAAATAATGCATTTTGTTTTCATATTTCTTGAGTGTTCTTTCGAGTATACAATTGCAATATAGTTTATATATATATATATGAACAAAGAAAAGTAATTGAAAAATGAAAAACGATATTCAGAACAAGTCAAAAGTCAAAACCGTAGAAAAGTAATATCTCTAAAATGAAAAACGATATTAAAATATATGATTTAATTTTGATGGGTTGTTAGTTTATTTAAACTATTATTTTGATGGCCCAATTAAAAGCATAGTTTATGAACCCAATCCAACAAGATTCCAATAAAGAAACCCTAGGACTGTTATTATATAAGAGGCGAGCAACCACCCTTGGGGTAGATCTAATCTTGCTCTCAATGGCTGACGGAAATCTTCATGAGCAGAGAATTAACGCAGTAACGGATTTAGAGCTATTGAGGGATGACGGATTTCTATTAGTTAGAGACAACTTTGACTGGATTTCTCTTCAAACTTTTGTGAACGTGCGTCATTATTGGAAGGCGCATGATTATTTGGGAGAAGTTGTTCACGTATTGGATAACATACGGCGTGGATTTCGGGACTGGATTATTGACAACCCAAACGGAGATCTGGTGCCGGGTCCGGATCCAGTGGTGATGAACGTGGAGAATCCCTTGGCGCCTCTCGCAGTGTTTATAGACCGCGGGTATACACTGATGAATCTAATCACTGGTGATGTTAATCAGATCATTGGAGTAGTCCCTACCTTAGGACAGGCAGAGCTCCAAGAAATACTTGAGCTCTCGGACGCCAATGTCATTATCCTTGATCTTATAGAGGATGGACGCAACATGATTGGGGGGATGATAAATTCAAGTTCAGAGTCAACTGAGTCAAGTTCGAGTTCAGCTGAGTCTGGATAAGTTCAGCATCGGTTTATTTTCTTGAAGACTTGAGTCGGTTTATTTTCGTCTAGTTGTTTATATTTAGTGGATCAGCTGTTAAAAAGTTCCACGTTTTTTTTTTCAACATGTTTGTTGTTATAATCCTTGATTCTGATTTCATAGATATCTATATATAAACGTAGTGATATTAATCTTCTTGATTCTTATTTTAACCACAGCTCAATTTTTCTTGCATTAAGAAAAATGAATCAAGGCAATTTCTCTTCGACATTTTACAATCAATGTAAAAAAAACTGTTCTTGATATATATATCATCATTCAACATGCAGCAAATAGATAGGAGACGCTTCCTTAACTGATATGATTTCAAATCTTTTATTGAAATATGATGAAGGTAAGAGGTTATTAATCCTTCAAAAGCCAAGCCAAATTTGTTCATTTTTCTTATGTTGTTTAAACAAGTTCCTTTTGTTAACGATGGCCACAGTTAGGGTGGCGCCTAGACAAGATTATTGGTGTTCAGTGTTGATTTGTCTGTCACTGCAGCCTTGATTGTTTCAAGAGCCTGAGACAAAGGCGTCAACAAATCACTTAGCACGTATGGACGAAACATTTTCTTTATAGATTGATTGGAACTAGAGAATTAATGTATATATTTCATTGAAACATTACATAGTTACTTGGACTGTAACTCTTTGGTCCAAGTCATTGATTTTAGTTAGCAGCAAGTGCTCTGAAGTTATTCCCAGCACCTAGCAACAAGAAGTTATTACCTCATGGGCTGCTTCTGTTTTTGCCGCAGGAGTGCCACAAGGGAAAGAAAAACCTGATAACATCGAATTCACTATAAAAAAAACGAAGTAACATTATTCACTCACCTCTATCGGAAAACCACACATTCTAGTTTTCACATTATCATCCAATATTGACAACTTAAGGCCAGGGAAAAGGACTCCGACCTATGTGATAATGAGCCATAGGATGTGAAACTGGAGTCTCTCCCTTGTTTGTGGATAGACCCTACAAGTTGTATCTGCCTGTGTAAGCAAACCGTGATGAATTTATAAAAATGAGAAGAAAACAAATACACTATGCATCAGGAGCTTCCAAAACTGGGCCAATAGAGAGATGGATATACACAAGACGCCCTGTTTCGTTTTCTTCACAGCCAACATTATATACTGGAATCTAGCTGTGGATCACTGAAAGTTAACGTAAATCCATGACAAATGGATACAGTCACATTGTTCAAACAGAGTCTTCAGTGCTTGAATTGAAGATAGCCATCTTCATCCAAACTGATGAAACAAGAGACATAACGATCGCTTGTTCATACCATAAGTTGAAATAGACTAAACACAGAGTTTCAACCGTGACGTTAAAATAATAGATCGAACACAAAGTTAAAGAGGTTATAGAGCACTTTGTTCCATCACTTGAGGGTTTGATACACACAAGAAAATCATCTTAAAAGAAAACCAAGATACTGATAAGTAGCCACTCCAACGAGGAGAGATTTATTCATAAAAGGCGTGATCAGCCGCTTGTCCTCCATTCCTTGAAGCCAAGGCCAACTCCTTAAGTCTCGCTCTCACTGCTTCTCGCGAAAGCTCAGGCTCAGGATGACCTCTCACAAAATCATCGCTTCCATATTCCCATTGCTCAGATTCCATCTTCTTAAAGCCCATGTTTCCAAGCCGGCGGATGAACGGTGCCATCTCCTTATAATGTGAGAATATTGGAAGAACATCTCTGCAAAACTCAGATTCATTCCAAATGATGAAACTCTTCCCGTTATCGCTCCATGAAACTATTGAATTCGTTGAAGGATCATCCACCATCTTATATAACTTTTTGCGGAAATAACGGCATCTATCTTTGCCATTATTATCACGATCCATCTCTAAACGATCAAGATCCAAAATCGCCCAACACGCCCTAAAATCAAAACACACCCAACCAATTATTAACTAATCAAAATTATAAGCAACCGGGCACAAAACAAACAGACGAGAATCACTAACTATAGTGGAAAAAAAAAGAGAGAGGGTATGTTTATCGAGATCCAGACCTCGCGATTGTTATTGTTCGTGCCTCTACAACAAAACCTAGGAGAAAAAAGCTTCCTATCTCACCGATCACGGTTTATATAAGATACTGAGATCTTATGGTCTGCTGAAAACCCAAGGACCGGCCCAAGGACCGGCCCGTATCCAACTTGGCCCATCTTTTGTTTTCCAAAATTTATATAAAATCCAATAACAAAATGGAATCTACAGTTTTATATTATAAAATGTTGCCATATATAATTGGGAAAGAGTAAGTGAACAGAAAATTTTGCGAAATTTTGAATATTTTGGCCAAAATAGATATGTAGCAAGTTTCCAAACCTAACTTATTTTGATTTGGTTTGTGAAATGTCTCACATAAAGTATGATGGCACATTAATGATAGAAAAAGAGTCTTACACAGGCAGATAATTTTATGGCAAAACGACAAAGCTTTGATCGTATATTCGTATTAAGGAACAATTTGATTTGGAACGACGTTGCTTCGTTAAAACTTAGAACGTTATTTGTATTTTCAATTTTACAGTAGTATTTTGGAGGAAAGTATATCAAATAATAGTAACATTTTCTATTTCTGAGGATTAAAAATGTTCAAATCACTCTTGAATGTAACTTCTTCCCATGATTTTAGATCCACCATGTAATATACACCAACATATTTTAAATGAATTTTTTATTTGAATGTGAAACAGCTCTTGTAACTTTTGTAAGCAAACAATACTCGGGCATTTAGAAAATTTTTATCACAGATTTGGAAGCTCAAAATGTACAAGGGATATATTGATGTGTGAGAAAATAAATAAATAGAACTGTTACTTTGAAATATCTGATATTAAAACCCACTATTTGAGTATGATGCTATGAACAATTGTGCACTATTTTACCGTAACCTAATTAAGAAGAGTATTGGCCGAAGCGCCTAAGAATCATATTCATTGGGTTATGAAAAAGAAAAAAAAAATTAAAATTTTCCATAGTGAATATAAATACAAGGTTGAAAAATGACAATTCTTAATTGGGAAAAATGTCATAAAAACATCAATTTATCAAAAGTGTAGGAAAAAAGTATTAACTTTGCATGTGGTGAATTAAATCCTTAATTTTAGTTCACTTTTTAATTAAATTATTAACTTTCGTTGATTTTGCCAAATAAAACACGTCGCTAAGTCAACTAACGAACGAATTTAACGAAGTTAAGTCAACGTTAACCGTTTCTGTTAAACTGCAAAATGGCGTCCTTTTAACGTAACGACAATCGATGTGCCACGACCTTAGTCCTGTAGTGGTATACGCCATTTTTTCCAATGTGGAGCAATAGAACTTGATGTTATGTACATGTTTGATTTAGATATGTGGTAAACTTTGATGTTTTGTACATGTTTGATTTAGATATGTGGTATCGATGCACACTATCTATTATTCATTTTCTTTTGCACCACTAGCTACCACATTTGCCTCATTTTTCTTTTGCACCACTACAACATTTGCCACACTAGCTGGATAGATAACCTCAATATTTTTTTATCTTTTTTGAATGAAGAACCTCAATATTTCAATTTTATATTACAATCTTTTAGTGAAAATTTGGCAACATTTTAATAATTCAACTTTATATTAGTTAATTTTTCAATTAAATATTTTTTGTTTTGGGTTATAGTAATGCAAAAAAAAAAAATTTATAACTAAATTTTCCGTACAACGCAAATTAAGTATATGGTACAGACAAGTTTGTTTGGATCATTTACACCGAATAGGTTTATTATCTATATTTGGATCAAAGTTTTTTGTTAAACAAAAATAAAATTTGGAAAAAATGTAATATTGGCATATAATGATTTCCCAACTTTATTATACTTCTGTAAAAATTAAATGCCTAGTAAACTGTATTGTGTGGTGATAAGTCATTAGTAATGGATAACTAATGTATGTTGAAAAATTTGTCCAATAAATTCATAGGGCGTCAATGGTAGTCAACTATTCACATGTTATATCTTCTAAATATAGATAGGACTGAAAATGCATTTTAGGAATATTAAAACTGGCATTCTTTAAAGTTTATGCACCATCATTATTTATTTATTTTTTTGAACAAAACACCATCATTATTTAAAATTGCCTTCATTGTGAGTATTTTTTTCCTAGTAAGTATGCCGAAAGTAAATAAAAAGCAAAGAAACAAAAGAAAACATAGAAAGTAAGAAACTGTAAACAACATAAATAAGGAAAATACACCATTTCTATTTATCATTAAGTCAGGATAAGAAAAAATAAGCAAATGTAGTAAAGCTGACTAAGACATAGCTGGAGTTTGTAAGTAAAATAACTTAAAATTTAATTTTCTATATACTGTGTTTCCGTTTCTTTGTATCAGCTATATGTATATAATAGAGAAAATAGGTGAAAAATAGAAAATATAATCTTGTATTACCTAGCTTATTAATAGTTTTTTTTGTTACATATCAGTTAATATTTTTTGTCATATAAATAAATAGCTATATGAAAACATAACAGTCTCTTTATAGAAGAGTTAGCCGTTTGCAACGGTCGATTTAACGAACTAAAGCCCGTCATTTTTAAAAATATGAAAAGAGATAGTTTTTAAATTATTATTTTTTACTCTTACACATAATCATGTATATAATGTAACAATTATATATATATAGTTATATTTGAACTGAGAAAATAAATTTTAGATCATACAAAGCCAGACATAATGAACACAAAACTATTATTTTGGAAGACAAAATGTATAAAATCAACATGGTTAGAAAAACAACCATATTTTTCATGGTAGTTATATATAAATTGGTGTATTTTTAACATATGAAGTATCATTTTAGAAAAATAAGAATAAAGTCAAGATAGTTAGAGATACAACTATTTCTTTTAAACAAAACAATGAATTCAAAGTAGCTTTACTATTACAATTAATGGTTGTTACCCTTGGAGATTTTATACCTTAACGAGAGTTCAACACATTAATTAATCCCTCAATAAATAGCATACGTCTCCGGAGATGAGACATCATCATCACTCACTTCTACCTCTCAGCAAAGTTTTACAAAACAATGGAGAACCAATCTATGTCTTCTTCAAACTCCTCCTCCTCCCCACAAAAACCTGATCAAAAACTCAAAAGTCCCGTTGTGACCGTGGAGGAGAAGGAGACAAGGAACAATCCGGAACAAAGGTCTCCTCAAGAGGTTGTGGCTGAAAACACGATCCTTGAGTTGCCTACTTTCAGACAATTTTTCCGAACGAAAAAAAATACCGTGCTATATCGTCCCATGAATAACAAGATCCACATCTGTGATTTTTGCCACAAGGTGTTCCAAAATGGTTATGCCCTAGGCGGTCACGTGAAGTGCCACAAAAAGGAGCGAGAATTGGAGAAGCAGGGGAAGCTTTCTGGTGGTACTTCTCTTGCTCCTTTCCCAAGCTTTCCATTGCTCTCTTCCGGCCCGTTTATGTATGGCCAAGGCGGTAGCAGCTACAAGCGGAAGATGATCGATTCGATGCCTTCTGGTGGTACTTTTCTTGCTCCTTTCCAAAGCTAGGCATGACCAAAAGCTAACCGTAACCGTATTTCGGACCGTAACCGGACCGTTTCTCAACCGTAACCGAACCGTAACCGTATAAAACGGTTAATAACCGTAACCGTTAACCGTAAAAATAAATTAGTTACGGTTAAAAAATATACTAACCGTAACCGTTAATTAACCGTAAACGTATCAAAACCGTTAGTTAACCGTACGGTTAACCGTATAGTTAACCGTGCAGTTAAAACCTAAAATACATAATTATTTCACTAAAACAGTGTCTTAAATGGTTCAATGCGCCCCACTATTAAATTTAAACCACTCCACTCGTCCACTACTCATTTTCCACAAATCAAATCATAAATAATTTACAAGTTATTATTTTCTCCTGTAATCGTTTCTTAATTCTCGTAACATCCTTTCTATAGTATTGTTTGGAATACGTATTGTCAATAAAATAATAACTCAATCATTATAATTATTACCATTGATTTAGTTATTCGTTGGTTTACTTAACAGAACAAAATAGCTAATTAACTATAAATATTAAAGTATATAATTACATATATTATATATTATAAAATATATTATATATTGTAAAATATATATTATTTAATATATCATCATTAAAATTTTTATTCTAAAAGTTAAAAATACCTAAGTTTTTGTCTTTGATATTAACCGTATCGTAATAATTAAATAACCGTAACCGTATTTAACCGTAACCGTTGTAACCGTAACCGTATTTAACCGTAACCGTTTTAACCGTATATATAACGGTTAAGGTTACGGTTAGAGAAATTTTATAACCGTAACCGGAGGTTAATAAACCGTAACCGCAATAACCGTAACCGTGGTCATGCGCTTTCCTTTCCTCTCTTCCGGCCCGTTTATGTATGGCCAAGGCGGTAGCAGCTCCACTGACGATATTAATCTTGATCTCACTCTTGGTCCATCGTCTAAGTCCACAGGAGGCAGCAACAATAGCACTAACCCATCGTTCCATGGGAATCTGTTCACTCCCATGCTTCCTTGTGTGTCTGGATACAATTTTGGTGCTGGAAACCCGGTTGATCCAAACACTAGGTATCTTCCTCCGTATGGAAACAACAATCTTTGTCCTGATTTGTTTTCTTTACAGGGGAATGGTTCGGGCTTTAGCCCCTCAAAAAGTCTCTTCTTAATGGCACAGAACAAAGCCATGGTGCCTCCTTTTGCTTCACCTTATCCAACCACCAATCTTTGTTATGATTTGTTCAATGGTTGGGTTTCTAGCCACTCAAGTCTCATCTCAAAGGGGGAAAACAGATTCATGGTGCATCCTTTTGCTCCTCCTTATGGAAACAACAATGTTTGTCCTGATTTGTTTTCTTTACAAGAGAATGGAATGGGCTCTAGTCACTCAAAAAGTCTCATCTCAATGGAAAAGAACATAGCCATGGTGCCTCCTTTTGCTCCTTCTAATGGAACCACCACCGATCTTTTGCTTTCTTCACAAGTGAATGGTTCGGGCTCTAGTCACTCAAAATGTCTCATCTCAAAGGGGGAAAAGGAAGTCGTGGTGATTGAAGATGATGATGATGAGGAGGAGGAGGAGGAGGATATCGAGACGATAAGGTGGTTGGCCAAGAAAAAAAGATCAAGAAGAGAGTAGTAATTTATCAATGTCCCTTTGAGTTTTTCAGTTTTCAGTTTTCTATTGAGACTTATGTTCACCTCTCTTCTTCTTTTTTTCATGCGATTGTTTTTCTCTTTTTGTTTCTTTGTTGTCTTTCAAATGTTCTCTTTCCGTTTAGTGTAATGTTTCGATTAATTCATCAGTCCCTTTTCTTCAATTCCTTTATCTCATGATTGCTCTAAATTTTCTGCAATTTTCCAAATTCATGGTCCAGTTATTCGTAAGCGAATTTTATTTGCAAAGGTTAAAGAGATTCTGCATTAATTTTGCTAATAATCATTTGTTAAAGAGACATTAATTATCTTCATTGGTTGTGAACTTGTAAGAGACAGAAATATTAAGGGACTCTTTCCGATCTTATATTTGTTGTAACTTCCCAAAAAAATAAGAGGCAGAGGTTTCCTTTTTGCCGACTAGGGTTTCGCCGGTTCCGGTTTATCATCTACTAGTGTACTGGCCCATCCAAGTTTGTGGATTGGTTATTATACGGTTACTTTGTATTAAGCCCAAAAAAAAACCCCAAATTTTTTTATACAAAGAGATAATTATACTTCAATCAGGATAAAACTTAGACTCCATTCTTCAAAGGTCCTTTCTATTAAACAAAAATCCAAACTATTTTGTTTATCTTGTTCAAGAGAAATCTCATTTCTAAGATAATTGCCTATAGACATCTATTCGATAGCATGAAGATCGATGTCTAGAAGTTGATAGTATTGAGAATTGTCTATTGGATGAACTGGATTGTTTTCTCAAACAAATCAAAGTCAATATTGAAAGATCACAAGTAAAAAACAGAATCAAGCAAATTTGTCTTATACAACTTGCAAATTTGTATTTTTTTTTTCACTTTGCAAACCAGCACTAGTGAGAATCTAAAGACAAGCTGTTTCAAGAAATCTCATGTCGTGTCGCTTGCTATGTTGATGAAGCATCTGACTAGCTATTGTATTGTTTATGTTTTGATGTTATTATTGTGGGAATAGAGCATCAAACTAAACATCTGAACGTCGCGTTTTCGATCCACACAACTCCTTCCTTGAAGCCAAGGCCAACTCTTTAAGTCTCGCTCTCACTGCTTCTGGCGAAAGCTCAGGCTCAGGATGACCTCTCACAAAATCATCGCTTCCATATTCCAACTCCTCAGATTCAATCTTCTTGAATCCCATGTTTCCAAGCCGGCGAATGAACGGTGCCATCTCCTTATAATGTGAGAATATTGGAAGAACATCTCTGCAAAACTCAGATTCATTCCAAATGATGAAACTCTTCCCGTTATTGCTCCATGAAACTATTGAATTCGTTGAAGGATCATCCACCATCTTATATAACTTTTTGCGGAAATAACGGCTTCTATCTATGTGATTATTATCACGATCCATTCCCTAAACGCTCGAGATCCAAAATCGGCCAATAAGCCCTAAATCAAAACACACCGACGAGACAGAAATTAACTAATCAAAATTATAAGCAACAAGACAGAAAACAAACAGACGAGAATCATATAAATTATAGAGGGAAAAAAAAAGGGATGTGGTTATCGAGATCCAAACCTCGCGATTGTTTATTGTTTGTGCCTCTAAAACCAAACCTAGGACAAAAAAAAGCTTCTAATCTCACCGATCACGGTTTATATAAGATACTGAGATTCTTATTGGTCGTGAGTCGTGTCGCTATCTATGTTGATGAAGCATCTCACTAGGAATTTCACAAAAGATTTGTAATTGTTTTTTCTATTGCATAAGGTTTTGTAATTGTTTTGTCTATATTGTATTGTTTAGGTTATAATGTCATCGCGGGGATAGCTCAGTTGGGAGAGCGTCAGACTGAAGATCTGAAGGTCGCGTGTTCGATCCACGCTCACCGCATTTTTTTTTTTTTGAATTTTAGTTCTCTTCCAAAACGACACAGCATTGATATTTCAGAATAAAATTCAGAAAAATAAACTAAATGAAACTAACAAATCTTTCTTAATTTCATTTAGTTTGGGTTTTCTTATCTCCTCTTTTATATCCGCTGTATTTTCAAATTTTCATTGATATTTTGGAGGAACGTATTCATTTTCAACTTTTCATTGATATTTTGGAGGAAAGTTCTGATTAAGTTTATCCTAAGTCACTTTAGTATAGTTTCATTATCTTTCTCTTCCGTTGATATCGGGCACAAGATATCTAGAGTTACAAGTATAGTATATAATATATATGGCCGGTAAAGAACCAAATTCTCAAGCAATTCATGTCACTTAAAGTAGTTTATGAATTTATGTATAGGTTTCTTATATATATCAGTAAATCACATTTTAAAATAATTAGATCTACAAGATTATTCATCTATTATAGACACCATATAATTTACACCAACACTTGTAAAAGAAAAACTTTATTTGAATGTGAAACAGCTCTTGTAAGATAAAAATATTCATGTATTAATTTGTAGAAAATTTTGAAATTCAAAATGTACAATTGATTGATGCATAGATATGAAAAGAAAAATAGAACCTTACTTTGAAATATCAGAAACTAAACCGCACTATTTGATACTTTTTTACCTTAACGGCTTAACCTAAAAAGAAATCTAAGCACCTAAGAATCAAATTCCTTGGGTTGAGAAAACCATAAAAAAAAAAAACCATAGAGAATAATTACATGAATTATAGTTTTTCTGAAAACATAATACTTGGTTCACGTATAAAATCATCCTTGTAACACCATGAATGAACCAATGTTAAAAGATTCTAACAGGTCACAGGTTATATGTATAACACATGCTCAACAAAATGTCATTGTCCTGTTTATTAGGACCGATAAATGTGGATCACACTGCTTTCTTTTTTAACAATTTAATAACTTCGTTCATATATATAATATATCGAATCTACCATGTTTATATATTTCTTGACGTATATATGTTCTTACCGTTATACTAAACATTTAACATTTGGATTTATAATAAAGTCGTCATTACAAAATTAATCTTAAAACGGTGCCTTAAATTGGAGAAATTGTCATATTTTTGCTTAGAAACGAAGTAGTAAAAAAAGGTTAAGTGAAATTGTTAATGGTGTCACCGCGAAGTTCGTCCAAAGGCACACAGTCTCCAACTTGCATCTCAATAATTAATTAACATAATAGCCCCTTTATTAAGCAAGGATTTGACTTTTCACTCCTATAAATTCACAACTACAATTCTCATCATCGCCAAAACAAATCAACTCTCCTTCTCTAAACAAAAAAAGAAAGACACAAAGATGGAGATCTCAAAAACCCTTTTGCTAGTGATTTCTCTGGTGGCTGCAACTTGTTTCTTGCAAGCCAAGGCAGCTGGAGTTTATTGTAGTAACCCTTACACTAGATGTTACCGCAAGTACATTACCTGTCCAGAGGAATGTCCAAGCACAACCGCTATGAACTCCAAGAACAAAGTTTGCTACGCCGATTGCGATAGACCCACTTGCAAATCCCAATGCCGCAGTAAGATTTTTCGATTTCTATAATCATAAAGCTTTCACACATGTTTTGTGCAATTTCAAGTAAAGATCATATGTTTTTTGTATAGTGAGGAAACCAAATTGCAATAGACCTGGATCAGCTTGTTATGACCCGAGGTTCATTGGAGGAGACGGCATTGTGTTCTACTTCCATGGAAAAAGCAATGAAGAGTTTAGCCTCGTTTCTGACTCTGACCTTCAGATCAATGGTAGGTTCATTGGTCACAGACCCGCTGGTCGTGCCAGAGACTTCACATGGATCCAAGCTCTAGGATTCCTCTTCAACTCCCACAAATTCTCCCTCGAAGCCGCGAAAACCGCCTCATGGGACAACGAAATCGACCATCTCAAATTCAGTTTTGATGGCCAAGATTTATCTGTTCCAGAAGAAACTCTCTCCACCTGGTAAGTACTTAATTTCTGTGAGCTTGAATCCGGATAGTGACATAGCGATGACACTAAAACAATCCATTAGACTACATGTCATGGTTGATGTTTTCTCTGTTTTTTCCGGATTCTTGAAACTTATATGTTTTCTTTACAAACAGGTACTCACCAAATAAGGACATCAAGATTGAGAGAGTGAGCATGAGAAACAGCGTGATCGTGACAATCAAAGACAAAGCTGAGATCATGATCAATGTGGTTCCAGTGACAAAAGAAGACGACAGAATCCACAGCTACAAAGTACCATCGGATGACTGTTTTGCACATCTTGAGGTTCAGTTCAGATTCTTTAACCTTTCCCCTAAGGTCGACGGAATCTTGGGACGAACCTACAAGCCCGATTTCCAAAACCCGGCTAAGCCTGGAGTCGCAATGCCAGTGGTTGGTGGTGAAGACAGCTTCAAGACTTCTTCACTCCTCTCCAATGACTGTAAAACTTGCATTTTCTCTGATTCACAAGCAGAGTTTGATTTAGTTAAGTCAGAGATTAAATATGCAACTTTGGATTGTACCCGTGGAGCGTCTTCTGGATACGGAATCGTGTGCAGGAAGTAAAAAAGAATCATATAAACTTTTCTTAAAGAAGAATAATGCCAGAGAGCAGTAGCTTCTACTGGAGATTTTCAAAAGTATAATCAAGTGAAGGAATAATATGTAACTTGAAATCTATTTGTATTGTATCATCCACTATATGTATTCTAATGTTGTATTAACGTTAATGATATATTGTTCCAATAAATACTACTTAATCTACCAATCCAAATCAATAAGTTAATAGTACAATGGAATGTTAAAATAAAGTTCTGGTAAGATATCAAAAGCGGGGATAGCTCAGTTGGGAGAGCGTCAGACTGAAGATCTGAAGGTCGCGTGTTCGATCCACGCTCACCGCATTTTATTAATTTTAATTTTTAATCTCCTCTTTCAAACACTGAAACGACGTCGTAGTGACACTAACTCATAATCTGGAATCGAGATTTTAACAAAACAAATGTATAATGAATCTTAAAAAACTTGAAAAAGCTAAGATATAATCACATTCTGATTCATGATTTGATTTTAAAACATCAGTACTCACTATATTACAAAACAAATACACCGTAAAAATTCGAAAATAAATTCTGAATGAATCATTTTGTTGTTTCCAACCCAAAAGTCTTCAATAAATATGTTTCTTTCTGTAAATTTTTCAAAACAAACAATGTTCTGTCTCTGTTTGTTTCACCAAATGTGTTTTTCTTCTTCTTCTACCTTCCACGAGGATGAACAAGCTGCGAAAACACAGCACTAGTAGTCGCGTCTTCCGCATCATCATCAGTCCCGGTCCCCGAATTTACTCCTCCTCTATCGATTATACTCATACTGTTATCAAACGGCTCCATTGGCGCCATTGGGATCCCTGGTATGTGGTTTGTGCTATTGTCATCAGGTTCCATTAAAGCCGAAGATGTTTCTTCGAGCTGTAACGCGTACTCCAGATTCCACAATACATCTCCCATAGAAGGCCGGTCCACGCCGTATTCTGCTAAACATTTCTCTGCGGTTTCGCCAAATTTCTTCAGTGATGCTGGATTCACTTTCCCAGTTAAGTTAGTGTCCATGATTTGATCGAGTAGACCCTTTTTCTGCCACGCCATTGCCCATTCCGCTATGTTCACTTGTTCTCTCGGTAATACCGGGTTTAAAGCCGGTCTGCAACAGAGTACTTCCATTAGGACAACACCGAACGAATAAACGTCGGATTTCTCTGTTAACTGCTGTCTTCTGAAGTATTCTGGGTCGAGATAACCGAAGCTTCCTTTAACCGCCGTGCTGACATGGGTTTGATCGAGTGAAGGGCCTGTTTTGGATAGTCCAAAGTCTGCAACTTTAGCAACAAGATTTTCGTCGAGTAAGATATTCGTGGTTTTCACATCGCGGTGTATAATGCTCTGTGATGCACCAGTGTGTAGGTAATGTAATCCTCTTGCTGCGCCGATGCAAATCTCGAGTCTTTGTTTCCATGACAATGGAGGAAGATCAGCTCCGTAGAGATGACTCCTCAATGGTCCATTCGCCATGTACTCATAGACCAGAATCATTTCAGACCTCTCGTCGCAGTAACCGATTAGAGAGACGAGATGTCGATGTCTAAGTTTAGACAGCATTTCGATCTCGGTTCTGAACTCAGCCATACCTTGTTCAGATCTCGGGTTACCTCTTTTAACCGCGACTTTAGTCCCGTCTTCTAAAGTTCCTTTATAAACCCGGCCAAACCCGCCAACACCAAGCAACGAGCCCTCATCGAATTTATTAGTAGCATCCATGATTTCTTGAAACATAAAGCAACGGCCAAGATGCGTAGAAGCTAAAGAAATGCAACTAGCTGTGGCACTCTTGTGAGAAGCGGTTGATTTGGTAAGAGTCTGAGAGAGACCATATAAAGGCAATGGCAACCACGGATGTCCATTACCGCCTTCTTGAGGACTCGTCGACCTCTTCTTCCTCGAAGCAGCCAAACAGCAATAGCAACAAACTGCAATCAGTAGAACCACAGTAACCGCACCAACCGCAGAACCGATGATCACTGCTTTCTTCTTTCCCTTATCTGATCCTCCAGGAACAAGTGACTTAACCGAAGAAACACCACTTAAGCTCTTAGCTTCATTACTAATCTTCAAAACCTCTAACCCATTCATAGTCGCATTCGTGATATCAGCTTGCGAATCAGGTCCAACACTAACGGTTAAAACACCGGCAGATTCAACAGAACCATTGGAGATAAAATCCTTAAAGTAAGGAACTTTAAGACCATTAGTCAACGTAGAGAGATCAAGACTTCCAAGAGCAAGATCATCATTCACATAAAGATTGAAAACAAGCGTGTTCAAAGCTTGACTCACAATATCACAGAAATGAACACGAACAAAGTACCTGAACTCTGGATCAACAGGAAGAACCCAAGTAACATTAAAACTTGGACTTGCAACATTAGCCTCACCCATTGTATCAGCAGTAGCATAAACCATATTTGGAGCTGTTTCTTGAGTCACAGAAGGAGAGTACTTAATCGAAGAAGGATTCGCCGTTACAACAAGAACAGAGCTATTGACATGAAGATACTCTGCATCATTATCCCATTGTCTCCCCAATGTATCGTTTTGAGAAGTCAACAATGGTCCTCCCATGTTTAATCTATAGACTGTTTCAAACGCAAGCTGAGAGAGACCACTAAATGGTGTTGAAGGGTTAAGAGCCAAAGCTTGATCAGGGATAAGATTATCCGGAACAGAGACAACTTCAATAGCGTTGACAAAGACCACCGAATTGTTTGAAGGAATGAAACTTAAAGTCAAGAACTCTGAAGTGACATTGACAGTGTACTCTTTGAAGATGTAAGAGCCGTTGAAGTTGTTGAAAGAGAAGTTGTTCAAGAGCACGAAGTCGTCAGTTACGACAGTGATTGAAGCAGAGGTTAAGTTCCAAGTAGAGTTCTTGATTGGTGAGAAATGAAGACGGATCCAATGTCGACCTAAAGAAGTGATTTTGAATCTGTAAGAAGCTAAACCGGAGAAAACACGAGCGGTTTGGTAGATGGAATTGGTTGAATTGGAAGTAGTTGATGATGTTGCAACAGAAGAGTTTCCGATTTTGAGTATAAGAGAAGAGTGGAGTGAATCTGGAACAAAGATTCTGTTTTGGAAAGTTATGTTTTGTGATGAGCCACAAGAAATCAAGTAATTGTCTGGCGGAGTAAACAAAGCAGATGAAGTAGTAGTGTAACAAGAGAGGAACAAAAGAAGAACAAGTAATGATTTTGTGAACACCATTTTTTGTGAAATCAAGAACCCTAAAACCCAAATCGAAAAACGAAGAAAACCCACAAGATCAATGCTAAAAAGGATTAAACTTTTTGTGTTTGGAGATTGTGTTCTTGAAGAAGGTTGAAGATAGAGAAAAGAGTAGGGATTTTGAAGAAAGTTTGAAGCTTTAGGGTTTGGATTCACATGGCGAGAAGAGCCAATTGGAGAAGAATGTGTGTGTTTTGGGAGGAAGAAGAATCAATCAAAGACAAGAGAGCAAAGTAGGAAGAGAAAAGGTAGAGACTTTTTTTTAAGTGTTACTTTCTGCAAAACTTGTTTCTTTAGATAGATAGCTCTTTCCAGGCTGGTTTGATTAGGCTGTCATATTATTACAGAGGAGAAGCAACTCAATGGAAGCCTTCACAAAGGCCCTACACAAAGAGAAGAAACAGAGACAAAGAAATAGGATTAAAGAATAATACTAATAAGCTTAGTTTTTTTTTTTTACTTTTTAATAATGATTAATTAGTTAAGTTTTTTTTGTCTGTTGTACTAATGAGGTTGCATAAAATTAGCGGCGGGTATTAGCTGTTAATTTGAGTATTTTGTAAGGTCTTTTTCAAAAAGATAAGAAGAATAAGAAAACGTTTATGTCTTTTGGCTATAGTTGTAAATATTGTGGGTCACTTGTTTATCAATTACCTTTTGTTTCGATTACATTTTGTTTTTTCTATGGAACTATCTCTAATCAATTCGTTTTGTTAATTTTGTATTTCTCTACGATTATTTTTTCTACATATATAGTGAATTTTGAGCTGTAGTTTTTCAGTGTATAAGTTAATAAATTATTATTGTAAACATATTTTGAACAAAACAACTTAGAGTAATACTAGAACTAACAACACTAGAAATGCCAAAAAAAATATATTAAAAAAGTAGTTACTGTGATAAAGAATGTACATCTATGATAGTAAGTTAGTAACTGATTCATAGTCTTAATTAAAATGAAGATAAAATGACAAAAGAAGCATATTAAAGTGACAGAAAAATAACCAGTTGATTTCTGTAGACACTTGTTATAGTATCATAGTCATAATTCTTTGATATCAATCAAGTAGGGAATATTAGTAAGATGGATTTCGTAGACCAAAAATATGATTTCAATGTTTTTTTGTCAATAAAGTGGTAGCCGGTGGAAACCTAACTAATATTGTGATCGTGTTGCATTAATGGTGAAAAGAAGTTGTCTCTTAAATATGTTTCAACCACTAAGTTAAATAGCATTTGTTAGCATATATACTAAAACCCCTAATATACAAGAGCTTTTGATTATTTGGTAGCAAGAGGTAGATGTATAACTTATAATAACTGTTGAAAATAGGTCAAACCAGCCAAGTTCCCAACTAATTTATTATGGCATGAGTGAATCAATTAATTCAACTCATCTATTTATGGTTTCAGATTTTTAATTTTAAACCAAACTAGCTACAATGATTTTGGCTAGTTTGGTAAAGTATACTTGAAACCTATATTATTTTATTATGGTAAAGTATTATGCTATTCTACTATAATATTATAGTGAAACCTCTAGGACTTATATGAAACTCGAAATTGAATATTATTGCCCAAAAACTCGAAATATATATAAATAGTGGTGAAACAATTTTAAGTGGAACCCACAAAACGCGGCTTTTGGAGGACGGGAATGGTGGACAAAGATGACGGCGCCGTAACAGACGGTGCTTCTCTTCGTTTGCATTTTGTGCTTACACTATACACGAAACCAAAACTGTGACGTTGTCTTAACGGAAAACAACACACTGACACACATTCATAGAAGAGAGCAAATATACACAACGTAACAACACGATTTTTTTTTTTTTTTTTTTTTTTTTTTTTTTTTTTTTAACACGATTTTGATTTTGGGTGATTTAGGTGAATAACCAAAAAAAAAGAAAAATTAGTTTTTTAGAAAGAAGGTAGAGAGAGATAGGAAGAGAAAGAGAGTGAATAGGGGGGTTAGAGGTTAGTTATTGAATTAAAGTTTTTTTGTTGGTTAGTTTTGCCAATTTCCCTTTGATTTTTGTCATACATTCATAAGTTGTTATTATATAAGGTTATCTTACTCATCATGTCTTTTAGAAATATTAAGGAAAAACTAATTTTTACGCGATTTCATGAAATCGAACTTCGGTAAAAAAAAAGTGGAGTCAAATGGATTTAAAAATTTCTTTTAGGCTATTTAAATCTTATAAACCTAAATATTATATTTTCATCGGTAATCGTGGAACGATTAAATCAATTTGCGATTGTACAATTTTTATCAACAACACAATTTATCTTAGATTGTTATATCATTTATAATAAAAGAATAGTAAATTTTTATTATTGTTATGTTTATTATTTCGTTCTTTTTTAAAAAATGTTTATGATTTCGTTAGTAAAGTTTTATATATTTTTTTTGCTGTCAAAAAAAAAAATAAAGTTTTATATTTTTAGATTTTAAATTGTATATTAAATAGTAAACAACAATTTTATGTTAAATGTTTATATTTATGGTGAGGTAAGCTTTTTGTTTGATTACGTACTTCGTTAGACCACATATTTCAAACATGAAAAAGACTCTGGTCTTTAACGTGTTAATATATCTTCTCGTTACATGTTGGATTAAATAAGGCCTATATATATACATATATTTTGGGAATTTGCCAATCATAAAACGACATGAAAATTTCGTTCTCGTAAGCAAAAACATAATTTTAGAGCAGCAAAAAGAAAGAAGAAAATGCAATTAATATTATAAGAAAAATAAGATGATAGTGGAGGATGAAGTCGTTAGGTCACACCATGTGCTTGCACATGTGTTCGTATATCAAATCACATGATTCCTACAGCTGAATCTTTATCATTTACTTTAAAATTTTAACTTATTATTATTATTCGAATGTGGAATTAGAAGACGACTACGTACTAACTTATAAGACTTTTTAGATTTATTTACTTAATTAATCAATTATGGGACCTTAAAGGCACAAAAAGTTCATATCAAATTCAGATTAACGCGTTGAAATTATTTTTAGGGTCTGATTAAAATAATCCATCTTTTATAGTAATATTCATTACTTATGTATCAACTCGATAATCAGACAATGGTCCAACGACTTCTCGTAAGATAAGTTCATTGGAAAATTTCTATGACATATTTATTTTAGAGTAATTCGCAGATTATTTAGTATTTATACATTTAATCTCTATCAACTGATATAAATTTGTATCAACTATTTTCCTATGATACATTCTATCTCTTTTCTGTGGTTGTTAGTTTTTATAAAACACTAGGGACAAACATTATAATGTGTCATTTTCGGGGAAAAGACATTACATAATATCCAAATTGTTTAATTAACAATAATTCGCTTACTCACCTAAGATTAGAACATGTTGGACCCACTACCAAAAATCATTAAGCTCATCTAATCTTTGTTCCAAATGTCAGTATGATATAAATCAGTTTGTCTTGTTCTTTCCAAACAAATCGCTGTTGAAACGTGAAAAATAAAACTACCATCGAACTATTTGTAATCGTGGAAATAGTTATTTTGATAATATTGTGACAAAAAGAAAAGAAAGAGAGGGATACATAATTACATATATCTACAGTTGTACACATAAATTGGAATTACAGCACAGGGATAAACATTAACATACACACATAGAAGTCAGAGTTAATGTGTCAATTTTTAAAGATAATTGGTGTTTTATCGGGTGATGGATAAAAAATTAAGAGAGGTTAATTATATGTAAATATTTGGTTAATTTAGTAGTAAACATGCTTTTATTGGAGGATTATTATTATTTTAGCAATTTTAAATATAAGTTTCTTTTACAAAATTTTGACTCTTAAATGTGGATGAGATTCAAGAAAAAGAGAGATTATTCCACTTAATAAGTGAAATGAATATTGAAATGTGGGAAAACAAAATGAAATGAAAAACGTTGGTCACGTCGAGACCGTCAATCACGTCGAGGCCGTGAATCCAGCCGAGAGGCGCGTTTCGTTCTTTAGCCTTTTTCTGTCTCTTTTTTTTGGTAAATAATAAGACGAAAAAATATGAAACCAAAAAAATGAAGAAAATAATATGTCTAACGACTCTTTTCTTTGACTCTCATCATCTTTCCTTTTTAGGTCCAACCATTTCTTCTTGTATTATCTATCACATATCATGAGATACAAAATCAACTTGATTAACTTCCTTACTGAACTAGACACACATATAGATAATCAACGAAGAACTTGGGTTCCTTAAAACCATTGATTGAATCATAATTGTAAAACCGAAAATGCGATCGATAAAAATAAATTCTTTAGGTCTAACAGTTTGATTACTTAACATTTGTTATTGTAAGTTATAATGTCTATTCTCAATTTCGAATGTGAGGTTAATAGCTTGTTCGTTCAAAATTCTGAACTTTTTCATCGTTTCATATGGGATGGAATCTCATGATCATTTTGGATCAATGCATATCATCATGTGAATGTATGTATGTTTGATGTTTCTAAGAAACAGTTAATAGATGAAATGACGCATATCATTTATCATGGTTCATCCATAAACTCTTGTACAAACTGCTTGATTTGAAAGTGAGTTCATTCCACTGCTTTCATTTACATGAAACCTCTTCTCAGTGGCTTATCATGGATGGACCTTGAGAGATATTTTGGGACTTGGGAGGCTGCTATACGCATCATGGATGAACACTACACAATATGCTCCTCTTTTTGGTCATGGTCATAATCCTTTCATGAGCAGGGAAAGTCCAGTTTCATTTGCTCCAATTATCCTTAAGACTTGCAGTTGCTCTTGGTTCTAGGATATGGATTTTTTTGTGTTGTTTATGGGTTTAGTTTTACTGCATTGATGTATTAAAAAATGAATCTTGTTTATGTCCATGTTTTGAACCTTTTTGCAGACGCAATTAGAAGAAACATGGATAACTTTGTTTTCTGGAATCAGATAACGCAAAGAATTTCACCAAACCGGTTTTCCGCCACGCAATTCTTTCATCGGTGGGATATGAAACCGCGCTTTTCAAGGGCTTGACAGGAGAAATGCCTTTTTTTTTCTTTGGAACTAAGTTTTTTTGTTTGTGTTGAGACAAAACCATTTTTGCTTACCATTGCAACAGAAGCTCATTTAGCCATATAGCTCAAAGCTGGAAACAATGTTGCTTTTTGGATCCAGAGAATGCTTTTTAAGTCCAATTCATTTG